GAGGGACTTGCTTAGCTGGTGGATGGGGTTCTAATTCAGCTCAAGTGAAGCTGCTGTGGGTTGCTCTTCCCCTAGTTAATAAGGGTTATTTTGTTTTCCAAGGACAGAGGGCTAAGAGGGTCAATAGCCAAGAAAAGATTGGAATAACGGACGAGGCTGTGTGTGACTCTAAAATGGCTGTGAAAACTTTTTACATTCATGGAAGCATATTACAGTAAGAAAGCAATGGGATTTATACTTTGAAAATCACGTTAATAGATATAACATGTTTATGTCTTTATTCTCAAGATAACCTGCTAAGTTAGTGTCGGAGTGGTGTAGGAAGAAAGAAAAAACACGTTTGGGAAGAGACCCTTTTCATCCAGGTGGTAACTTTCAAAATTCTCAAATTTATAGGGGAAAAAAATATTCAAAGATGGAAAGAAACTTGTGTATTTGGCAAGATGTGGTTAACTCCCACCCACATATTTAAGAGATTCCTAATTTCTTTTTTAAATTTTGGGATTGGAGAGATGGCTCAGCAGTTAAGAGCACTTGCTCCTCTTGTGGAGGACCCAGGTTCAGTTCCCAGCACCCACATCAGATGGCTCACAACTGTCTGTAACTCAGCTCCAGAGTATCTGACTCCCTCTTCTGGCCTCTGTAGATACTACACACACACACACACACACACACACACACACACACACACACACACACACCTTTTTCAGAAATGATTTTTTTGAAGTATCAGGCAAATGCTATTTAATAAGTGGAGTCGATTGGTTGTGTTGGAGAACATGGAGTTTATTCTCAGGGAGAAAAAATTTTTTAAGAAGAGCTTCTCACATCACGTCATCTACAAATGAGCACCAAGCCCTTGTTAGGACCTGAGTCATCGCTCCATAGACATTAAAACAGCTCAATAAAAAGTAGTAAAAATACCAAATGCTACCAAAGAGTTGGCAATTTGGGAAACTAGCTCTTATACGTTGTTTGTGGGAATGTAAATCGGTACTGCCCCTCTGGAAAACTGTTTGGCACTATCATCCAAAACTAAGCATGCACTCGTCATGTGGTCCAGAAATTTCATTTCCAGAGAAATCAAAATCTATACTCTCCTCAAAACCTCAGCAATATAGAATTCATATGATCATAGCAGATGTATCTGTAAAGGCCCCAAATGGGAAACAAGCAAAGTACTTCTCCATGTAGGAGTAAACAAGTGGCCATCGTTCATCACCTGTAGTCTCAACCAATAAAAAGAAATCAAATATTAATTCACACAACAGACCAGATATTAATTCACTCAACATCACAGAGGGTGAAGAAAGGCAGCCTCAGAGCACTGTGTGGTGTTTGATACCATGAACATCACAATGTTTGACAGAACACAGAGAATGAAGCAGCTTTCAGGGTTGGGGATGGGGAGACGAAGGGCTGGTACTCTTGAGGCAGACTGCGGTGTGGATGCACGGTCTACACTGACAGAAAGACCCAGCACTACACAAACTGGTCAGAGCTGCTCTCCTGGTCCTGCCTCACACTGCACTGTGCAGCGAGGGCCCCGGTGGAGATGGGTAAGAGGTGTATGGTCCTATAGCAGGAATCTTAGCAGTTCTTATTAACAAAATCAAACCTGAGCCAGGTATTGGGGTGAACACTGGAAGGTCAGAGAGACAGAACAAGCCACAGCTAACCTCCCCTGGCCAACTTCTCAGCTGGTCTTGTTTCCTCAGACTGGAAGCCTCTGTGTCTTCATATCCGAATGGCTCTCAGCTGAACTGTGCTGCTCAAAACCTAAAAGCTTAACCAGCCAAATGCTTAACCAGCCAAATGCTTAACTGGCCAAATGCTTCTAGTTTCTGGTCCTCACGCCTTATATACCTTTCTGCTTTCTACCACCACTCCCTGGGATTAAAGGCTCACTTTCTGGGATTAAAGGCGTGAGTCACCATGCTTGGCTATATCCTTGAGCACATGGATTTCTGCCTCTGGAATGCTAGGATTAAAGGCGTGTGCTACCATCACCTATCCTAAGTATCTAGTGGCTTTTCTGTTCTCTGACCCCAGATAAGTTTATAAGGGTACACAATATTTTGGGGAACACAATACCACCACATGGTCCCTCTCTGTACTCTGCAGTTTCCTGTGGCTATAATTATTTCAAAGTGATTGGTTTGGTCAAGCCAGCCAGCCAGGCTGTAATCCCAGTGGCCTGAGAGGCTGAGACAGGATTGCATGTTCAAGTCTGCCAGGGTCTAGGGAGAGTCTCAGCGTCACCTAAGCAAATTGCTTGAGACCTTGTCTCAAGTTTTAAGAATGCAAAATGACCTGGTGCTTTCCGGCATGTAGGAGGAACTAAGTTCGTCCATCTTGGGATGGTTTAGGGAGAAGTGGTGTACCCTCACTAGAGGAAGTACATCCCTGGGGGTGGAGTTTGAGAGTCCACAGCCTCACCCCACTTCCAGTTCACACACTCTGCTTCAAGCTTGCTTGCTGTTGAAAAAGTGATCTCTCAGTTACCTGTTCCAGCCACCTACCACAGGGCCTTCCAGATGTTACGACCTCTTGTCCCTTGAAACCATAAGCCCAATACTCCCTCTCCTTGTTAAGCTGTCTTTGGTCACGGTGTTTTATCACAGCAACAGAACAGTCACAAAGACACCCATCAGGCAAAAAGAAAGAAGAGGAGAAAAAGTGGGGGGTGGTTTGTTGGTTTGTTTGGGTTTTTGTTGTTGCTTGTTTTGTTTGGGGGTTGTTTTTGTTTTGGTTTGGTTTTTGATCATCCAAACTCATTAGGAGCACAGAAGAAAGAGAGACCAGAAGAAGTCTCCTGAAGTCACCCTGTCTGGCGTAGGAGCCTCCATGGCCTGTGTCTGTCTGCAGCGTTTCCTCTCCTGGCCGAGGAACAGGAAGTGGTGCCTGGGGGGGGGGGGTGGTTCCTGTCTTGAGCAAGAGTGAGGACCACAAGATTAAATGATTCGTCTGTGCTGCTTGGGCCTCAAACAGGTTTGGAGTGTTTAGAGTCCATGAAGTTCAAAGTTCAGCAAACTGCTGCTTAGCAACGGCACACCTCTAGCTCGCGCGCGCGCCGCCACACATACACACTACACACATACACACTACACACATACATACACATACATACATATACATACATACACACACATACACATACATACACATACACACACTACACATACACACTACACACATACATACACACATATACACACACACACATACACACACATACATACACACACATACACACACTACACATACACACTACACACATACATGCACACATATACATACACATACACACACACACACA